CCCAAAGTCTTTCAATGAAGCCCCTATAACTCTAATACGAAATCCATGTAAAGACACAATAAAAAGGAAAACTACTGGTTAATATCCCCAATGGACATAGATTTAAAAATGTTCAACATAATGCTTGCAAATGTATTACAGATACACACCAAAAAGGTTCTCTACCATGACCAAGTTGGCTTTATCCCTGAAATTCAGGGACGGTTCATCAAATGCAAGTCAATAAATGTAATAAACCATATTAACATCCTTAAGGACAAAAAGCACTTGATCATCTCAACAGATGCAGAAAGTATTTTACAAAACCCAACATATATTCATGATAAAAGTCCTAGAAAATGTAGGTACAGAAGAAACATACCTCAACACAGTAAAAACTATATATGAGAAACCCACAGTCAACATCTTCCTAAATGGAGAAAAACTTGAATCAATCCCATTGAAGTCAGGAACCTTGAAGAACTAGTTTGGAGCATAAGGCAAGAGAAAGAAATTAATGATTTACAAAATAAAGAAAAGTCAAACAATCCCTATTTGCAGATGACATGATATTAAGCATTAGAAATTTCAAAAATTCTACCAGAAAATTTCTATAAATGATACATTCAGCAATGTGGCAGGATATAAAACAAGTTACACAAATCAATAGCTTTTCTATTCATCAACAAGCATACTAAAAAAGAGATCATGGATACATACTCCCATTTGCAGCAGCCACAAAACTAATAACCTATCTAGGAAAAAAAAAAACAAAAACAAGGAGGTGAAAGATGTTTACAATAAAACTTTATAACACTATAGAAAGAGATAGAGAAAGGCACTAGAAAATGGAAAGCTATCCTATGGTCATGGATTAGTAGAATTAATATTGTGAAAATGATCATTTTACCTTATGCTATTTACAGATTTGTTGCAATTTCAATCAAAATCCATATCTCATTATTTAAAAGTAGAAAAAACTATTCTAAAATTCATAGGAATCCCAAAAGACCCTGGATAGCCAAAACAATTCTGAACAAAAAGAATAATGCTGGAGTTACCATTTCAGTTCTCAAGATATATAAGAGATTTACAGTAATACAACCAATATGGTATTAATAGAAAAACAGACATGTAGGCCAATGGGACAAAACTGAAGACCCAAACATGAGTACATATAACTTCAGCCATTGATCATTTGACAAAGACGCCAAAAATATACACTGATAAAAAACAGTACCTTCCACAAATAGTGCTGGGAAAACTGGATATCCACATGCAGAAGTATGAAATTAGACCTGTACCTAACAACTTGCACAGAAACTCGACTCCATATGGATCAAAGATCTAACAGCTTGCACAAAAACTCAACTCCAAATGGATCAAAGATGGAAATGTGAAACCTGCAACAGTAAAGCTGATAGGTAAAGACAGAGGCAGTACTATACATGATCTAGGTGTAGGACTTTCTGAGTCAGACTCCATTATTGGCCTCAATATTAAGGCCAACTATCAACAGGAAGGCCTTCTAAAAACTTAAAAGCTTCTTGACAGCTTAGGAAATGATCAACCAAGTGAAGAGTAAGCCCACAGAATGGGAAAGGATCTTTGTTAGCTATGCATCTGTCAGAGGATTAATATCCAAACCATAAAAAGAACTCAAAAAACAGTCAAAACTACACCAGAAAAAAAAATCCACCCACTTAAAAAATGGGCTTGGGATCTGAACAGGGAGTGCTCAAAAGAAGAAATGAAAATGGCTAAGAAATACCTCAAATAATGTTTATGACCCCTAGCAATTAGAGAAATACAAGTGAAAATAACTTCGAGATTTCATCTTACCTCAGTCAGAATGACAAAGATCAACATAACAACAGAAAAGGAATGGGGAGGATGGAGGTGGAGGGGCAGTCACTGTTGGTGGGATTGTCAACAGGTCTAGACACTCTGGAAATCAGTGTGAAAAACTCTCAAAAAATTAAACATAAATCTACCATATGATCCAGCTATTCCATTCCTTGGCATAAGCCCAAAGATTCTATAAATACTAGCTCAGCCATCTTCAATGCTGGTGTAGTCACAATACCTAGGAAATGGAAACAACCTAAATGATTTCACCCAAAATGGATAATGAAAATATGGCACATATATATTCTGTAATATTACTCAGCTATAAGGAAAAACTAATTCATGTAACTTGCATGTAAATAGATGGTTCTAGAATAGACCATATTGAATGAGGTAAGGGAGACCCAGAAAGAAGAAAGATACGTTCTCTCATTTGAGTGTGAGCACACTTAGAGTAACTTCAGGAACCAAGAAAGCCAAAAGGGACAAGTGCTGTGGTAGGGAAGCAAAGAAACAGGAATAGCACAGAACAAGTTATCTGACAGAGATATGGGGCAGAGTGGGGAGGGGAAGAGATAAATACAGAAGGAATGAAAAGGGCAAAACAACAGCAAGGCTATCTGAATAAATCATAAGGAATTATACTACTACCTAAAAAATATATAACTATATATAAATATACATATATGGTTTCAATGAAATTTTCTCATCTGGGTAATAATTCTCTCACCAAGATCCAAAGACCCTCTAATGAAAACCTTAACACCAGGCATGAGAAGTCCTCTTTTGAGTTGTTCTTCTGGGTTTTCTAAGAGACTCCCAAAATAGTATAATACAGTGGTTCTCAACCCTCCTAATGCTTCAACCCTTTAATACAGTTCCATATGTTGTGGTGACTCCCAACATAAATTTATTTTCATTGCTACTTCATAATATAACAATGTGCTACTTTTATGAATTGTAATGTAAATATCTGTGTTTTTTGGTGATCTTAGGTGACCCCTGGAAAGCGTCATTCAATCCCCAGAAGGTTTGTGATCCACAGATTGAGAACTACTGCTGTATTACACACATTGTAATAGCCACTGCTATTATAACCCAGAGTTGGAAGGTAAGTCTCTATTGTTGATAACACCATGTACTTCAGACAAAGGGCCCAGAGGAACCTGATCTGGATCTGACCTAAATGAATGCCTTCTTCCTGAAGACTACATTTCATGCTGTCAGAAGGAGCCATACAAATTTTGAAAAGAAGGAAGTAAAAGTCCTACCCAGCTATGATGCCTATGAAACATAATAATGACCAGCATGTCATTATAACCATAAGGGTGCAGTAATACATACATAATTCGTCAGTCATCAACAGCTCTCTAATTGGACTTAAGACCCACTCAGCAAGAGAGAAATAATCCTTGGTATTGGAAAATTAGACAACTGCTCTGGGTTACTGAGATGGATCTTGGAGAACCTATAGCCATCACTTTACAAGACCAGCATAATCCCTAACACCCACAAATAAGTGTAATCTTCACCCCTCATCAAGGAAAGTTCTCTTTGAAACAGACTTGGAGACTGTTAAAGCAGACCACAACTAATAGGTTTTCTGCCCCCCTTAATAAGTTTCTCTGCCAACACAGTAAGAAAGATCAAACTCAATTGAAAAAGTATAACAACATGTATATTAAGCAAAGTAACTCTCAGGTGGATTCACTGGCCTCTGAGAGTCAGACCAGAGAAGATGTGCATCCAAGCTAAGGCAGGAAGATTTTATAGACTGTAGGTGGGGGTGATGACATGTTTGCCACAAGCTGGGTTTGTGCCCAAGTATGGTCAAAAGCTAAGTGCTTAGGCAGGGACCTGGGTAGCTGGCCACAACAGGGGATGAAGCTGCAATAGCAATCAAAAATGAGGAAAACTAGGATTTTAGTACCTTTCCTTTGTCTGGAGACTCTCCATGCAGGTCAGGTTTGGGAAGAGACAGAAATGGGGCTTCCAGGATAGTGCAAGGGTGAGCCAGAGACTACAACTGAACAAACACCAATCAAAATCAATTGTAGATCCCAGTCCCAAGAGATACATCTACAATACAACTAGAACACTAAGGCTCAGGGATCATGGCTCAAGAGGGGGATGGAAAGTTTTTAAAAGTCAGAGGATCATGGGGTTTGCTGTGAGATTGTGTCTTCTAGAAATATCAGAAGCTAGACCCATCAAATCTCACCAACAAGAATGCTTAGGCAAGAGCTGAATAAGAACAACAATAGACATGTTAGTGTGGCTGATGGTAGATGGGTTAGAGGTAGGGGTAGAGCCCTGAAGGCCTCAACCCTAACACAAAAAAACCCTACTGGAACTAAATAATGCTGAAAGCAGGAGAAATGTCTTCCACCAGGAAGAGCACCCAAATTGGTTATTCAATACCAAATGATCAGTCCTGAAAACATATATAGTACATGGAAGTAACATCATACAGACTGAGTAGGCTGTATTTATGTATTCATGAAACACCCCCACTCCAATCACCCATACACATATGTATCAACAATTCATGGAAAAGGAGTTCATGGATTTGAAAAACAGCCAGGAGAGTTCTGAGTGATGAAAAGGAAGGGATAAATGTAATAATAGTATAATCTCAAAAAATAAAAGAAACAGGTTTTTTTGTTTTGTTTTTTTTAAAAAAAAAAAAAACTGTGAACAAAGCAAATACTATTCTTGGTCCTTTAGGACTCCTCTGTGGTAGTAGATAACACAACATTCATCTCAACATTCCCAAACAGGCTGACTGCAGCATTGTATGAGTAAAAGACTCTTTTGAATTCATTTTTGAGTCTGAATTCCAACCTCTCTATCTTATTTGATTACACTTGCTTGGAAAATGTTCTATTTTATAATCCTAAGAAAAACTCAGTGTATGTACATATACCTACATATGTGTTAGCTGACACCATGGCCACAACTATTAAGCACTTTGTTACTCTCAATGAGCTGGTTTAGGAATATGCTGCCTAGGCCTGCCCTTTAATAGCAGTAACTATATTTAAAACTGTCAAAAATATAAACTTCCCTATGTAGAAGACAATAGTATGTCAAATTTAAATTCTCATGTTAAAGTAGTACACTAAAGCAGACTTTTTTGAGAAGACTCAAATAAACTCAAACAAGCAAATTAATTCTGAATAAGTAGTAACAATTTTATTTTAACTCAACGTGCTGAAACACAAAATCTATTTCCAACATCAAGACACAAATAGTATGTATCTCATCATAAAACACCAACTGATTATTAAATAAAGGCCGAAAAGTTAAATGTTTATATATCTGAATCTTGAAGTCAACTTCCTTCAGAACTAATAATTAAATAATTTTAGCAGAACTTTATTTCCATAAATGGGCTCAATTCACTTTTAAGCAATGCAAAATTAACTAGATTATAGTATACAATAAGCTTTACTAACAGGAAAATATTTAAATATAAGTATTCCTTCTCAGACATAAAGTTCACATACAACAACAGAAGATACAGTGTGATTTCATTCCTAGTGAAGAAGTCTTGCATTTGAGGCACTCAGTATTTGTTCAGCGAGACCTAACATTGACATCATTCCATGAACACTTAAACTGGAGCTCACAATCTATATATAAAAAGGTTTGCAAAATATTCTCACGTGTGCTGAAAGTGCTGTATTTATACTCTGAGAACACTGAAACAACTCACTCATCCACTCACTTAAGACCAGGCATGTCCAAGTCAGGTTAGTCTACCTCTTCATGAATGTGGCTTTTAGTAAAACTTACTGGGTTGGATTTTCATATAACTTACACGAGTCTTTGTTGCATTTCTCTAACAAGGAATATTATCTCTGATTCCTCATTTTTTGTGTGTTTTGGTGGTGCTATGGATCCAACCCAGGGATCACAAATGTTGATATGCACTCTATCACTGAACCACTCTCAAAGTCCTTATCTATAATTTCATATAAAAAAATTCTTAGAATTTATATACAAAATTTTAAACGGGCAAATTAATATCTTTGACAATTTAAACTTTCAATTAGATCTAGTTAAAAATAAAACAGTAATGCTCATGACACTTTTAAGATATGTAAAGCAATTATTTTAAATTTTAATTATACTTGATATCCTAAACCAGCACTGTTTTCCTATTTTATCATGCAGAATGCTGGTCACATTTTTGAGGATTACACTGTCTTCTGGCAATCCACTGTCTTCTCAAATAAAGCACACTAAAATGAGATACATCAATTAATCTGAACTTTCAGCATATTTTAACTAAGTCCTATTTTCATAAATTCAGTCTTAAACGTATTACACACAGCCCAAGGGAATACAGATACAAACACATACATACCTCACACAAATGACCACATTTGATTCAAGGTTCTCCAATAGCTATCTGAAGACAGTGACACAGAAGTATTTAAGGAGGTAACATCAGCAAGCCATATTATGGCACCTTCATATTTGTGCTCCAAATATCAAACACATTAAAAGTAAAAAAATGAAAAAGGCACAAATAACAGTGTTTCTAAATCTTAGTCCAAAGAACAGTTTTCCAATGGCTACATTTCTTAATTGTAATATTTAAAACCACTCCTTGTGTTGTGAGGAAAGCTTTGTTTGGGTGACTAGAGGGTAATAGGAGCAAACTGGTAACTTAAAAGACAAAGACTGCATTAGACAGAATTCGTACCTATTTTGGCCAAGTTTTATATAGTTTAAAAATGGGGGAGGTAAGTGGGGGAAATGCTATTATGACATTTAATAAGAATACATTAACAGCCTCTTATCACTGACTCAAGAACCTAAAATATGCTACTAAAATACACATAAAAAAATAAAATATTGAATGATTCTGTGGGTATAATGGTAGGTACTGTATTATCAGAAAAGTGGACATTTCAGATAACACTGACATTTGTAGAGCACACTGTTTGACATTTTTGGTAGAAAATATTTTAGCAAACTAAAAACAAAAATCTTTATAACAAAATCCTTAAGATCAATAAACATTTCTAATGACCACTACATGGTCATTATATTTCATTGTATTTAGAAATGTAGACCAAATTAATGAGAATCAATTTACAATACGTGGTATATAGATTTCAGTGTTTTTATGATATGTGACAATGTATTTCACAGCTGACTGATATCTTTGTTTTTTAGTAAGACCACAGGAAAATCTTGTAATAAAGTATATGTATGTGTGTATGTATGTGTGTGTGTGTATTTTAAAATTGTACAATGTTAAGGTAATAGGCTTCATATTATGATGAAATTAAGGGAGTAAATTTTTGCTTGTCATGATTCTCCTATACAGGGTGAAGCCCATTGTCAGATGAAAAACTTTTCTTCTATCACAGATAATTCGTTCCATTTTAATGTAACACAAGAAAGACTTAAACTAAAATATCTAAAAATAGATTTTTGCTCGTTTGCTCTTTTGAACTGTGCTAATTTGACAATATTTTCTCAAAGTAAGTATTTTAGAATTACTTCAGTTAACATCCAATAAAGCTATAGTAAAAATAAAGTCTATTTTAAAACCATATGCTTAATTATTTTGTCCTGAATTTTAAGACTAAATAAACAAATTACACAAATTTTAATATGGGAAATAAAGCTTTAAATGCAAACATACAGGCATATGTACCTGTTTTTCCAGCAACATGCTCTGTCTTTATGTAGGAAGCATACTACCATGCTTCCATCATATATGATCTGACACTGACCACTTCTGCTTCTCTAGGACAAGGCATCAGAACACATCTCACAATTACCAACCTTCAAACATTTTTATGTGTAAAGCTAAATTCATAATAAAGAACTGGCTCATGAAAAACAGTTGATATCGTTTATCCTGTTCACATTATGTAAAACTTCAGCAATCTACAGTTAATCAGTAAGTGAGTCACCAAGGAGAAAACAAGGGGAAATAAAGTTTCCTAATGAGGCTGCACATACTTTCAGAGGGTTCTCTACTTTCCCACACATCTCCCACACGCAAATATTATTCATTCATTGTTTAAAAGGAAGTAGATTGTACAGGACTCATTTATTGTTAGGTGCCTTTTTCAAAGCGTGATAAAATAGTAATAAATTCAATAATGACTATTTGAAATCCAAATCAATTAATCTATAATCAAGCAAATGTTTATCTATTATCACAAACATCCAAGTTGGCTCCATGTGTCATATAAACTTCTTTTAAATGTTTAAACGTAATTATACCTTATTAATCCCCTCAAAAGGAAAAAAATATATATGTACCATTCATCATAGAAAAATTACACATTAAAAGTGCATATATATATATTTCTTAATTGGCCCACTCATGTAATGTACATTTGGTCATCCTGACTTTAACATCTACTAAATTATTCTTTCAAATGTAAGTCAGTATAAATTTAACACATTAGCAAAAACCATGCTTTCTTTTCACTGAAATCTCAACTTCAAATCATTTCTCAATCATTGAAATGCACATAAACCCAGTTTCTTGAGCAGTTAATATACAGATAAACACCAAAAATTTTACTAAAAGTTTAGGCCAACTCATTACTTATCTGCCCCATGAAATGAAAAATAAATTAACCAGAGCAGTGTGTGGCCACCACTTACCTCAACAGTAATAGGCTCTTTAGTGTCAACAGAACTGAGACTGGAGGCGCCTCTGGCAATCTCCAAATCCAGGAGAACCTAGTTTTAAACTTGGAGATTGCATAGAACAAAACCTATAAAATTCTTTTGTTTCCAAAACAATGGAAGATCCTTTTCAAACTCAGTATCTTCAGTTGTCAATATTACTGCATTGTGGAGCTAGTGCAATCCTGCATAGCCTTGGCAAACTGACAAGGCACAATAAAAAAATTAAACTATTATGAACAAGAGAAGTCACTGAAGATAATTTAAGGCCTTGAAGTGAATTAATCAGTCTGATTTAAAGCTGAAGTATAAACCATAAATTATCCACCTGAAAGCAAGCAATATGCTTTTCTAGCTTTTGTTCTGTGGACAAGAGACAGAAACAACTGTTGCTTATGGTTTGTATTGGAATCCTTCTGGACCTGGGGGAGTAAAGGCAATCAATTTTCCTACTGTCCATGGAAGACTCAAGACTGCTTTAGCCGTTTGCGTGGAATACCAAACTGTGGACACTGTGCAGATGCTAGTGCTCGGAAGGCTTCTGCCACTAAATGAGGATGAGACTGAATCATAGACTTCCACCCTGCTGTTTCCATGATGTCAGTTGCTTGGCTGAAAAAGAAGATTAAGTGATGTTTACTAAAAGAACACTTCTCAAATACATTGCTGAGTTATCAGTTTTGCTTTTTCTAATTTGTGGATTTTGAGATTTTAAATAGTGCTCTACCTCTTTCCATACATTCACTTGAATTTTTAAAAATATTATCTTTATCTTAGCATTTTTGTCAAAATTGAAAAGATTTTTCTGCATGTTTGAACCCGAGGACATGTGTGGTTGTTTTCATAGCTCTCTGTTCTCTGTTAGCAAATTCTATTCCAAGTACTAGATGATCTATTTTTCCTTCGAGTACCTCCTACAGGTTTTCTCTAGAGTTCCAATCTTTTACTTACACTCTCTTTTAGTACACTATGCCTTTTATCTCATCTGTTTGTCACATTTCTAATACATGCCCAATAGTTAACTACTGATAAGTTAAGTCCTAGTGCTTCCCCGCAAGATACATCATCAATCATTGGCTCTTTTCATTTGAATGAGCCTCAAGTATCAGTCACATAAGAACTCATCATCTTTTTCCTTAAGCCTCAAATTGTTTGTCTTTCATTTTGGCTTGAAGTTTTCACCATTGTTTGGCATTTAATTTAAAAATCCAGGAGGTATCCTAGAACCAGTCCTCTAATTAAGCATAAAACTCCCATTTTACTTTCCAAAGGCATCAGGTATTCATAATTAATCCTTATAATCTCACAACTGATTCATTATCACATTTTCTTCTTTGTCTTTAATCTTATAAGTTGTTTCTCTTACTGTAGCTTCCATAAGGCTGCTGTAGCAACAGGAGTATGACTATATTATGCAGTACTCCACTTTTCCCTTTCCCTATATTTGTTTTTTAAAAATGAGAAATGTGGTTCCATCCTCTTTATTGCTTTTCATTCCCACTTCTATGCTCCAGCTGCTCTGTTACTATTTTATTTACTGTGTCTTATATGTGTAACATTCTCTCAATGAGCAATCAGAGTAACTGGAAAAGCAACACATTAGTTCTTTATACTTTCCTTCTCTCCTCTGCCCCTTCTATTTACCTGAATTTAACCTTGTTTCTCAAATACCAACATTACTCCAACTTTCCTCTGCCCATCTATCAACGTGCAGAAACACTGCTAAGAATGGAAGCCTTATTGTGTTCAATCATAGGCATTAACCATTACTGGAGATTAATTATTCTTCACTTCATTGTCAAAAGTCCTAATTTTGCATTGTTTTCAGGATCTGATCTTTGCTTGCTTTCTCTAGCTTTTATTCATTATATAACTACTTTACACACCCCTTATTCTGCTTTTCTGTAATACAAATGAAAGTAGATTCCATAATTCATTGCAATTGCTTGTTTAATCAATCTGCTATACACCATAAACTACTTGTATGAGGGGAAACATCTATTATGCTTGCCACTATATTCTCTGTACTGAGCAATAGTGTTCTGGAAACTCAGTAAACAAATAATCACGCAAATCTGTACAGTGCTCTGCTTTGTTTCATGTAACCCCTTTCAGTCTGTCATATCTGCTATTTCCTTTTTATTCCTTTTTCTACCTCTTATTCATGTTTTGAAATGAACAGCCTGCTCTGTGAAGCCATTCCTAACTCCCAGGGCTTAGTCAAGTATCTGTACATATCCTCTTCTATCATCACCATTTTAAAATAAAAGCGGACATATGTATGTATCTATCTCTGTTAGATCAATTTCTTAAAAGCAAAGACATTTCATCAAATGTCATTTTATATGCAGTACCTTAGAGAAGTGCTTGAAATATAATAAAAGTTAAGTATATTGAACAAAATAGTAGCTGATATCAACAAAATAATATTTTTTGTCCAGTATTACTACTATACCATCATGGTCTTAAAATTTAAGTAATTGTTTAGGAGAACATTGCTATTTATTAATTTACATTAACCTTTTCTTTTACCAAGTCAATAAGTATTTATTGAAAGTTTGCACATGTAACACCAAAGTGTATAATTAATTACCTCATTTTAATAGAAGAAAAGTTGCATGATGTATTTTCTTAATAGAGTAAATAAATCTTGAAAAACTAAAACTAAAGCTACGTAATAAGGGTCAAAGAGAGCCATTGCTGCTAATGTACAATGTTAAATTCATATTTTTATTTTGATAATCCTCTGGCATCTTATACTTGTCATTAAACACGACTCCCACAGATTTAAAAGCAGTAAAATGCTTTACATTCAGAAAACAAAATTTAAAACTAATATGAAACCAACAAATAAATGCAATGGAAAAAAATTAAGTGAACAATTATCTTTAATACTGCTCCCTTTTAAATGTTCTTTTATCAACTACCCCCATGCAATAATGTGGTTTGTTATAGATATCCCAGAGTGGCCTATAACTCAGTATGTCAACTTTTCATAATTTTCAAAAGTAATAAAATTTAGGGGTTTCTAAGTAAAAATAATCAAAACATTACAAAACCCTTTAATTTATCATTTCTTCCTTTTGTTATCTCAAATATTTAAAAAGAATACTCTTAAATAAGAGAAAGAAAAAGGTAAAAATTACTTCTAACACTGTGTATATAAAGATCTAGAATCATCCAATCTCTTAGCAATTAACCTGCTACTGATTTAAAATATTAGGCAGCTTAATGTATAATGCAAGGTGTTTGGCTAATCTAAAGAGTAGCAAGTTAGCTCTTAAGGTAGAACAGGAAGTCTCTGAGTTGGATGAAAGTCTAGAATACACAGCAAGACCTTGACTCGAAATCAAGCAAACAAATAAGCTCAATAAACAAACAAAAATAAAAGAGTTTCATGGACCTATGAAGTCCTTCTAATATGCAATCCTCACTATTTGAGAGGCTAGGGCAGGAAGAGTGAAATCTGAAACTATTGTAGAAAACTTAACAAAATCTTGCCTCAAAATTAAATTTCAAAAAGGGTTAAGATTCAGGTAGCTCTATAGTAGAGTGCCCGTGTAGCATGTGAAATCCAGAGTTCAATCAATAAGCATTATCAAATCAACAAAAAAAAAAATTAAAGACTTCCAAGGCAAATCTTGAGGATGTAGTCTTCCTTAACACTTTCTAAAAGGGCAGAAGCCAGATACCCAGCAATGCCTATAATGCCTATACTCAGCTATATACTATGTGATATGTATGCATGTACTCAAAAAATTAAGAGCACCCATCCCAGTTTGTGTGAAAAGCCAAACTACAAGGAATTCACTAAAAGCAGTCAAATTATTTTTTTTAATAACTGGCAGTTAGCTTCATCAGGATCACACTTATTGTTCATGAGCAAAAGGCTATACAAACACTTCACTGAATGTATCGTATGCAGACTGAAACTGACGCCATCTTACTTGTTATTCCAGTTTTTCCCATCCTTACATCCAAGTTGTCGAAGTACGCTGCACCTGCATGGAAGATTTAAACAAGGTTTAAGGAAAGCCCAGTGAAAGAATGTTAAATGTGTCATATACAATGAAACCCAAGTACAGCTTACCTATTAATAAAGTCTATTGCCTGGGCTTTCAACTGTTCTGCACTGTGCAAATCTGCAAGGACAAGGGTATCAGCAACATTTTCTACTGAGAGGCTACTACACAAAGCTTCTTCACACATGACCTTCAGCCGTTCCAGTGCATACTACCCAAAAGAAAGATAGAATCATTAAACATTAATTCCAGTTATTTAGAGTGTAAGTACTTGATATCTGTAACTTAACAGATAAAGCACAAGAAAAAATGATTTGAACTGTTATATTAAATCAATAAACTGTTGCTTTAGCTTATGAAGAAATTATAAATGAATGCTTTTAGGAGAAATACTAATTTGTTTTAGAAATCATAAATTCAAAATATGGTGGATTTTAAAGTAGGAGTTACAGGGCAGTCATCTTAGTATTCAGTTATCCTAAAAAGTACATTGTCAAATAAACATTTATCTCAGTTCTTGTCTTCTCAAAGAAAAGAATTCACCTGAGAGAAAAATTAAGCTGTATTTTATTTAGTAATAGAAAGTGAAGTAATGAGCATATTTTAAAGAAAGACCTGAGTGGGCTTGTCCTAAAGTAGGAGAAGCATACATAGGAGCAGTTGGCTGGATTTTGTATTATGGATTTTTAAGGTTTTTATAGTCCCTATCTCTTATGATCTCATTTTTAACTTCCTTCTTCTAAGTAGCACTTTCATTTCATCTCACTCTGTGGTGATACTGTGTTCCCCAAAATACTGTACACCCTAATAAAATTATCTTGGGTCAGAGAACAGAACAGCTACCAGATACAGAAAATCGTGGCACTCACACCTTTAATCCTAGCATTCTGAAGGCATAGATCCATCTGGATCTCCGTGAGTTTAAAGCCACACTGGAAACAGCCACACATAGTGACTCACGCCTTTAATCCCAAGAAGTGAACCTTTAATCCGAGGAAGTGATTGCAGAAAGCAGAAAGGTATATAAGGCGTGAGGACCAGGAACTATGCTGGTTAAGCTTTTAGGCTTTTGAGCAACAGTTCAGCTGAGATTCATTCTGGATGAGGATTCAGAGGCGTCCAGTCTGAGGAAACAGGATCAGCTGAGGAATTGGTGAGGTGAGGTGGCTGTGGCCTCTTGTGTCTTTCTGATCTTCCAGTGTTGACCCCAATACCTAGCTCAGGTTTGTTCTTATTAATAAGACCTGTTAAATTTCATGCTACATCACTCTACTGTGCATGGTCTGGGGCCAAGATGCCCTCGTTTTAAATTCCCTGTTTATTAGATCTTCACTGGTGAGTATATGTGCCATTGTAAAAAGTACCCTAAAATCTCAAGTTCTCATTTAAGGGGAAGAAACCAAGCTCAGCTTCAAGGATGTCAGACTACAGAAGGGCATCCTGACTACCAGGAGATAAGTTACCAAGTAGCTTAGCTAGCTCTCTGCCTCCTCATTGTGACTGTGCCTAACTGTAGAAGTAGTGGTTGTCCAGAATACTCTCCACGCTCCTGCTCATATGTGCCACTAGTTACCTACTTTAACAATTCATTTTCTTTTCTACTACTTCATACTTAGCATGTAGCCACACTATATTTTGTCACTAATCTTGAGTGATTAAATTGAAAGCCAAGTAAATATTAATAACAACTAATTTTTGCAGTTATTGATGTAAAGCTGCAATATTAGTACCTGTATTGAGGTTTAATGACATACAATAAACAGCGGCCATTTAAAGTTTGTACTTTGATGATTTAATACCCATGGTAAACCCATCATCCACCCACAAGAGTAAAGATACTCTTTAAAGTCCTTCTTCCCCATACCATTCCAAGCAATATTTGTGATATGCTACTAAGAAATTAGCTTGCATTCTCTGAAGTTATTTTTACAAATGTAATCACACAGTATATACTCATCCTCTAGCACTGCTACTCAGTGTGACTACTTTCAGATTCATGCACATCATTGCTTATATAGTTCAGACCTTCTTAATGTTAGGTTATAGGCCATTAAATATGAGTATCAGTCTCTTCCCACCTCTCCTCACTCTACACATATTTGTGCATATGTGCTTGCACACACATGTGCACGCCAGTGACCTACTGTAACAAGTCATTTTCTTTTCTAGTACTTCACACTTGGCATTATTGACTATATTTATTTTGCCTATATGCAGTCTTAAAGAATCACCACTGAAAGCTAAGTAAATGTTAACAACCACCAATATTTTGGTAGCTAAATATATACATATACATACATACATTCACTAATTGAAAAATATTGTATTTGTTGCCAGTTCTTAGCTATTACAGTTATAGATACTCATATAAATCTTAAATTAGCATACATATATGTTGTTGTTGTTGGGGGGGAGGGAGAACTACAGGGGATACAAGCCTCAAAGTAAACTCAATGGAGTACAGGGTAAGTTTACATTTAACTTCAAAAGAAACTGTTAATTTTCCAAAGTGGTTGTACCATTCTATACTCCTATCAGCAGTGTCTGAGAATGCTAATTCTTCCAATTTTTGACAAGTCTTATACAGACTTTGTAATTTTAGCTATTATGATTGATGTGCAGTGGTTTAATCTCCATCTCCATTTCTTTAAGGACACTGGGCATCTTTATTTAATAAGCTTCATTGGTTTTATTTGGGAAGTATCTATTTAAACATTGTCTACTCTTAGCAATAACATTTCTTTTTAGCTGAAGATTAAATATTCTTTACACAGTCTGAATACAAAAGTCCTAAATATATGTACAATGAATATGTTTTTAGGATTGAGAAGCACGAGATTCAAAAATTTTCTGACATTTCTGCATTTTCTCTGTGTTCAAAAAGACACAACATATTTATAACAGAACAAAATTATTAATAATTTTCCTTTCTATACTATCATATTATATTATCATATAAGAAATCTACAAAGAAAATAATATAAATATATTGCTTTTAAGGAAAAAAAACAAAGGTTATACAGTGTATCTTAAGACTAAAAACATCTGCAAGTTCCAATACATTAGAAATGCAGCTGTATTTTGTATTTACCCCAGAAATTATTAAGCTTATGATTTAATCTTCCATGAGAAGATCTAGACCCCTCATACTTTCCTATCATATAGATCTTTTAGACAATTTTATTTCCATAGTATTCTATTTTGTGCTATTTCACAAAACTCTTTAAGCTGTCTAAAAATAGCACAAATTATGTAAAAAGTTATTTGTAGTTTTTTATGTATGATACTTTCTATAATGTCAATTTGAGGGGTTGCTTTTGGTTTTGTTTTTCTTTTTGGTCCTTTAAAACCACATTACTTACTTTGTCTGCAGCTGCCAACAAGTTGTCGGCCATTTTATCAAGATTTGGTGCTTTTCCTGTGTAAACGAATCTCATCATTTCTTTAAAAACCTCAGGGTCTAAATCATTTATTTCCACTCGATTCTATTATTGAAAACAACACACACAAATATTAGGAACAGGTACATATATGTGAATTCACATGGTTTATTTATTTCCACCCAATTCTATTATTGAAAACACACACACACACACACACACAAATAGTAATGGATACATATATGAATCCACATGAATCTTTGATAGTAATTAAAAACATATTAATATTTTCAAACTCTATTTTTATATCAAAGTAAATCTGTAGTAACTTAACCATCCAAAGCACAGTATAGGTAATTCTAAGAATGAAAACATACACCTTTTTTTTTGTAAGAGCTTTGATCAGCCAGAAAGTAAATACATGGATAGTGTGACCATGTTAAGTATTATCATGTGGTAAGCTTATGAATTTTCATAATTAAAACAGACAAAATACTGCAGCCCAAATAAAATTCATCCATGTTCAGTTTCTGATCACAGTTTCAGAGGACGATTACTGACATTTCCCTGGCTGAATTTTAGGACCTAATATAACACCTAAACCCTATAACCACATACACTATTCACAGTTATTAAGCAAAAGAAGAGTCTGTATGTAATTTTGATGAAAGCTCACTAGCTAAGAACACTTGCTTTTGCAAAATGCCATGTAATATTACTTCTGTTCCTTCTGTGCTTATTTGAGACATACTCCAGTTCAAGTAAGACCAGTTGCTTTTATACTTTGAAGCCTTATATCCAATTCTCTTATAAGATAAAGGAAGCAAGAAGTGTAAACACTTCAGAAACCATCCTGGATCATTTTGTTAAGTCAAGGTGTTAGGAATATAAGTGAAATCATTTTGTGTAACTTAAAAACAATTTAGTGTGACTTGTTATATGTGCTGCCTAAGCTTGCCACCAGAGAGTGTTGATAAAGCTAGGCATCAGAGGAAAGCCCAGATTAGTACATAGCCCAAGACAGGCCTTGATATGCTAATGAACTAACCCCAAGGTGGTACTGATATGCCCTAATAGAGCAAAGCCATCATCCAATGAAATGATACAAAAAATTGGAATTTTGGAAACGGTCCCTAGGATCACACTACTGTGCTCCAAAGAAAAGTTTCTCTAGCCTCAGTTGAGACTCAGTTGCAAGAAGATGAGAGACTGTGTCCCCCTGGCTTCAGTGAACACTGAACTTCCAGAGCTGTGCAACACCAGGGGCAGTTGCTGGGCTCATATATGCCTGCCTGTCAGTTATATAGCCACTTGCCTATGCTCTAAAGGATCTCCTGGGACCTCTACCAGTGCCATCCTCCCAGCCTTTTCACTATGGATATGAGTTCAGCCTGCACGCTTCTGACACATCCCACTGGAGAAGATTCCCCAGTGGAATCTCACAACAGCATTTTCTTCCCAGTCAACTGTTCCCCACTTGGAGATTTATCTATTTGATTTTTAAATTAGTACGCTATTATAAGGGATGTTTGTGTGAATAAACCAGGCATATTTGAAAGACAAATCTTGTGTGAATATCCTAATTGCTGAGCACCACACAGCCCATTGGCCACTGCTCTGCACACAAGTCATGGGCTGACACTTCAGACCCCATCCTGTCACTCTGTGAAGTCTGGGAGTGTGTAGGAGACTTTGGACTCCATCACTGGCCACCCTCTGAGGTCAGGGAGCACACTAATACTTTAGACTCTACCCTAGGATATGATGGGAAGTAAGGAAACATAAGACATCAGACCCTACCCTGGGTCAACATTTCAGGTCAGGAAGTATCAAATCTGACCAAATGGAATAAAGTTTAAGACCAATAGCAAATTAATCTTGAATAATTATAAAACTCATGAAGATGAAATAACACAATCGTTAATGATAAAAAGCAAAGAAATCAAGGAAGAAATATAAAAATACATGGAATTCACTGAAAATGTAAACAATACAACAAAACCTCTGAGACTCATTGTAAACTGTTTGAAGAGGAAAATTTTATAGCTCTACATTCCTACATTAAATATTCAGAAAGGGCAGAAATCAACTGTTTCAGCAAAGTGACAGGATACAAAACCAACTTAGAAAGTCTAAAGCCTTTCTTCCTGTATACTAATAACAGACACATTAAAAAGATCATGGGCATGCTTCCACTCACATGGCCTCAAAGAAAAGAAAGTCCCTAGCAATAATCTAACCAAGCAGGAGAAAAACTGCTATGATGAAAACTTTAATTACCTATAGAAACTGACTGAAGACACTAGATAACAGAAAGACCTCTCAGGCTCATGGGTTGGTAGAATTCATACTGTGAAAATGACCACTCTGCCAATAATTTACAGATTCAATGTAATCCCTATCAAAATCTACACAACATTCCTCACAGAAATACTTTTAAAAATCCTAATACACATATAGAACCACAAAAGACAGAGGACAGCCAAAGCAATCCTGACAAAAGTGAACACTACTGATGGGGTTACCATTTCACATTTCAATATAAAACACAGTGCCATAGTAATAAAAACAATTTGATACCAGGACAAAAACATATATTCAGACCAGTGGGACAAAACTGAAAACCCAAACACAAGTACATGTAACTACAGCCATCTGATATTTGATAAAGATGGCAAAAATATAAACTGGAGCAAAGACAGCTTCTTCAAGAAATCGTGTCAGAAAAGCTGGATATTTACAAACACCAAATGATTCAAAGACTTCAATGTGAAATGTTAAAATCTGAGACTACTAGAAGAAAACAAAGGATATAGGACATAGGAGTAGGAATGCCTTCCTGACTAGGACTCCAAGTGCTCAGAAATTAAGACCAAGAGAAATGGGAACTCATAAAACTAAAACACTTCTACACACACACACACACACACACACACACACACACACACACACACACACACACACACACACACCAATCCAGTGAACATCCAGACCCAAAAAGACTGGGTTGGTGTAAGTTGTCTCTTGTCTCTAGTTCCTAGCGACAAATCTTAAGATGGGAGTACATTAGCTGGATTATCCTCATAAAACAGAAATGCAAAAAGCAACCATGGTGTCTGGGGCTCTAGAGAAGGAACCAGCAGGATAGAAATGCTATGAAGGACATGGGAAAATGGAGAGGGCTTTAAACTGGAGAGAGGTTGGGAGGGCAAGAGGAAAAGGGGGGGGGCATAAGTAGTGTACGTATAGATGTTTGAAAAAGCCACAGAAAAAACATTTCCTAGTTACTAAAAAATGCTTTTATAATATATATGCATGCATACTTGTGTGTGTGTGTGTGTGTGTGTGTGTGTGTGTGGCGCACGGGCACACGCATTTTTATTTTTAGAAATGTTACACCACTTAAGGTGATAGTGTTCCTCCAAGAGCCAAAGACTTTCTAACAAAAATCCAAATAGCAGGCATGACAAACCTCCCTTCTAGTTGCTGGACAGAGCAACATTCAAAGCAATGTAGGCTATCACTGTTGCCCTTGGATGCCTTCATGAATATAAACATTAAGTCCCTATTGCTGAAGCCACCATGCTCTTTGGCTAGGACTCAGAAGAACTGAGCTGCTTCAAACCTTGAAGCTTCCTCCCTGAAGACTAGAAGCTGCAAAGGAAGAAAAACAAAGAATAGCCCTACCAAGCTGTGACACCTACAAACCACAGCAATGACCAGGAGGGCAAGATATCTCTAAATGTGGAATGGTGGTACTTACATCCTGGGAGTAGCTATCAGCCATCTAGCTGGACTCAAGCCCTGCTCAATAGGAGGGAATTCATGCCTGGTACCGAAAACTAGCTGAACACTCCTATCTGGTGAGGCTGTGGAACCTAAGAGACCCTACTAGTGCTATTTGCCCAAGCCAGTAGAATCTCACTATATTCTCATCAAAGTACAGCTCTCATTCCCCCATGAAAGGGCCTTCTTTCTACAGTAGAGGAGAACATTACAGAAAACCACAACTGGTAAAAATGCAGAGAACTTGCCACAGTGTGCCCAGCCCTAATGGATATATCTGTAACACAATCCTTACACCTGCAAAAACATTACAGAAGTGGAGGTATACAAAGATTATAAGAGCCAGAGGCCCAGGAAGTCTGCTGGAAGACTCCATCTTCCACATGTGACAGGGAAGCTCTGCCAATGAAATTTCAAAGCTATAGTGGCCTCAAGAAGAAAATCTTAAAAAATAATAATAATAACGTAATGATGCACCTTTATGCTTCGGGGAAAAACTTAAAGAATATGACTAATATTTCTGAGAAGCTTGGGATATATTCAGCAGATCAAAATCAGAATTTAGGAATAGAAGGAGCTAAGGTAAAAGTACAAGGAATTGATATCTAAACTGTAACAGAAAATCCTCACACCTACAGAAAAAAATTGACTTCCAAACACCAACTTCATTTAGAACCCCAAGTAGACATGACCAGAAAAGAACTTCTCCATGACACATCATAGTAAAGAAGTCAAAAATACAAAGTAAGGGGGCTATAGAGATCACTGAGAATTTAAACGCACTGGCTGTTCTCCCAGAACACCTGGGTCCAGGTTTCACACTGTGCCTCACAGCTATAATATAATGCTAGGGCCATTCTTAACAGACACAGAAAACAAAACAAAACAAACAAATATAAATCCCACAGACAAACATCCCCCCCCAAAAAAAACTGTCTTAAAACTCATACAGAAGTGCAAAATACTCTGGATAACCAAAACCATCTTGAATAAAAGAATACTTATGGAAGTATTACAATACCTGATTGCAAGTTATACTACAGAGCCACAGTAATAAAAATAGCATGCTGCTGGCACATAAACAAGACACACAGATCAATGAAATAGGAAAAAAAACAGTGTAAATATAAGTCTATGTTCTACAGATATCTGATAAAGACGCCAAAAAATTAGAAAAAAACTTTAATAAGTGATGTTGGGAAAATTAGTATCTACATGCAGAAGACTACAATGAAAACCAGCTTTCTAACCTTGCTTGAAGGAGGGAGTAAGAGAGGGAGGGAGGGAGGGAGGGAAAGTGCATGCAGGAAGCACAGGGGAGAACACACACTTCAGTGGATCAAGGAACTCAACGTAAGATGTGAACTTCTGAAATGCCTAGATGAAGAAATAGAAAAGATACTACAATATGTAGATGCAACAAAGGACTCTAAAGATGACTCTGCTTACTCAGGAAATAATGCCAACAATTAACAAATAATTAATTAAACCTCAAATAATTAAATGTTTCTATACATCAAAAGAAACTATTGAGCAAAGAGACAGGCTACAGAATGGGAGAAAATCTTTACCAACTACGCATCTGATTAATAATTAGATAATAATTAAAATATACAATGAACTAAAAACAAACTAAAAATCAAGAAAACAAACATCCCAGTTAAAATGGACCATGCTTTAGAGCAGAGATCTCTTAAAAGAAGAAATACAAATGAGTAATAGAAGCAGTGGTCAATATCCTTAGCCAGTGGGAAGAAGCAAATTAAAATTCCTTTGAGATACCATCTTTTTTTTTTTTTTTTTTTGAGACAGGGTTTCTCTGTGTAGCTTTGCGCCTTTCCTGGATCTCACTCTGTAGACCAGGCTGGCCTCGAACTCACAGAGATCCACCTGCCTCTACCTCCCGAGTGCTGGGATTAAAGGCGTGCGCCACCAACGCCCAGCTGAGATACCATCTTAACCCTTTCAGAATGGCTATTATGAAAACAGAAAATATGCTGAAGATGTGAAGAAAAAGGAACCCTTTATTCACTTTTGATGGGAGTCCAAACTGATAAAACCACTATGAAAATCTGTGTGGATATGGTCTGCCACATGACCCAGCTATACCACTCCTGGGAATATATACAAAAGAATGTATGCCTGGCTATAGAGAAACTTATACATCCATGTTCATTGCTACTCTATTAAAAATAGCCAGGCAATGTAAGCAACCTGGAGGTCTCATCAACTGATGAGTGGATAGTGAGAATGTAGTAAACATCTACTTTGAAATTTTAATTAGGTGCAAAAAAATGAATTATGAATTTTTTAGGTAAACAGGTGGATTTGTAAAAGACTATATATTATATAAAGTAATCAGGCCTTGGACAGAAAAAATCCCCATGGTCTCCCTCAGGATCCTAGCTTTGAATTCTCAGACTGTGATGTTTAACTTGGAGAGACTATAGCAAGGGTCTATTAGTAGAAGTGGAACAAAATATAGGCCTAAAAGGAAGAGGACGATAGCAGAAAGCATGTGCTATGAAAGTAGAGGGAAGAAATACTAAGGATAAAAAAATTTACTTACATGGGGAACAAGTTGGGGGACACAAGAGAAGTAGGTGAAGAGATAATCAAAAGCAATGACAAAAAAAAAAAGCTCTACAAAGGTTAGTATTGATTATTTTGTAAGTTGATTTATTAAAAATATAATTTAAAAAAATGTGTGAACATAGGTATTCCAAATGGGTGGGTAATGTATGCCGCAGAAGCCAGAAGTTACTCAACAACATTCCCAGTGTGGGTCCTCCTCCTGCCTCTCTCTCACTATGGATGAAACCCAAGGCTTTCTGCACGGAGGCAAGCGCTCTAGCAATGAGACCATCAAAATATCTGTTACTTAGGATGTTCACTGAGCATTCACATTGAGAGGCACCTACTGTTTATTTCAGAACACATTTCCCCCAATTCTGTGGTTTCTAAAGTTCTTCTCTGTTAGAACTTTAGAACAAGAACACGCACAGACATTTTTTATATGTGCATTCTATCATTATACATGTACACAAATTAAATAGTATTAAGCCTTTTAACAACATTTACCTTTTTGCATTCTTCCATTTCATGTTCAAACATTGCATTAAAAACTGGGGATCGAGCTATAACAAGAATAAGCACCATTACTTATTGCACAAATTTATTTAAAAAATATTATATTATCCAAAGGAGAAGATACCTGCAAGCACAGACTTATGAGCTTTGAATTCTTTTCCTCTCACAAAAAAGCAGCAATCTGTAAATCTTGTGTTTTCCCAGAGATTACCTAAGTCTTCTGCTAGTCGACATTCCGGCACCTTCAAAGTGTTTGTATTTGTATGTCCTGAGACATTGACTGAATCTTGAACCACACTCACCTGATAAAGAAGACAACAGGAAAACATATTCATACAGTATTATAAATAATCAGTTACTATGTGTACATTTAGTTTTTTAACTTACAATACCCTGGTTAATTCAATATACTGCTAATTAAAAATCCTAGTACCCTCCTAAACAAATTTAATATAGGTGAAAGAAATAGCACAGAAACATAGAAATAACCTAAATCGTTTTTAGTAGTGACACTGTATTTAAATAAATGACTTATCAATTGATTAAAAAGCTCAGTTATTACAATCACAAAATTATTTCCTAATAGAAACTCCACAATATCATCAAACTTGACAAGTTGACATTTTTGCGGAGGAATTTTTATTGTTTTTCACTTACAGTTCATGCCTATTAACATTTCACTTTTATTACAAATACAACTTGTATAGTTAACATGGTCCTTTAAGGTCCAGTCTCAAAGTCCCTTTTAGGGTTCAGAAAGACCCTACAACAAGCAAAGGAAACCTAATGATCTGAGGGCAAAAGAATTGGTTCACACCGTTCTCCTTCTATGTATGTCTATTTCTTGTTCTCTATTGTTCTCCTCTTGCTACCAAGTTTCCAGTTTACATTCATTCACAATCAGCAATTCTTGGCAACCAAGGTACAGGGCTAGAATGTCTCAGGGTCATAAAAAGCAGGTAAGAGTTACTAACAAGGCAGTAAGTGTCAGCTTCTTTTATGGCACAAGGTGGGAGTGGTAAGTACAAATTTCCCAGTGAGGTCAGCTAGAGATTAAATCAACATGGGAATCTAAGAGGGGATCTCGTGTACATCACTACATTCCTGGATGTGGGTAGGTACTAAGCTAAAGGTCTACAATCAGTAAAATCACAAGCAAGGTAAAAACTGTCTTTATCTTCCATGTGCTGCCTTCTTCCCCAGCAGGCAGAGGAAGGTTCAGGTATCTGGGTAACCAATGTAAACAACAGGGGGAAACATGCAATGTTTGGTCCACGTTAGCATTTTCACCAAATGCTAGCTAGCTATAAAGAAGCTTTCAGATCTAAGGATCAAACCTTTACCCTGAGCAGTTAGAACAAAGAAAGAATCCAAGCCTATTTGGTATAGGATCCCCAGTCTGGCACCTCCCAGCCACCCTGGTCATTTGCAGCGTAAATCTCGGCAGTGTCTGTGGTAAGATTATCTTTCTCCAGGAATGAGTAAATGTTTAATTGCTTTTTCTGTTATCTTCTTAGGGTAAAACTCAAGCAGTAAATCTTTTAAGCTAAAATCTTGTATTAATAAACAGAGGTGAAAATAAGTATAAGGAGTTAAGAATTTGTTTAAGGTTGGTGCAAGGTTAGCTTAGGGCATAATTTCTCTTATCTGTTGTCAAAGTGAAACCAGGGCATGCTTGTTCCCTAGCTATCTGAGGGCTGTGTGTGATTCAACAAATTCAGACATGTCATAATTCCAAGTCCTTGGGCATCTGTGAATGTCTCAAATGAGATCCTTTTGCCTGGACACTAACACTGACCAACTGTCTGCTAACAAAAATAACTGCAGGAGGGCAGACTTCTAAGTTTATATGGGGAAATGGAACAAAGATCTGGTTGTGAGAACAAAGGTTTTGACTGTGTGACTTCTTCCACACATTGCTGGGGGAAGTTATCCAATATACCAATGCATAGGGGAAATTGTGCTCAATAAATGATCAACACACTGCTAAATCAGTGGGATAAATCCCAGAGCTGTAATAGACGGGAAGAGCTAAGGCTTCACGTAAGAAATCTACATGAAGAACAGCCAATTCATTCAAAGGCAGTAATTCCAAATGCATTACAATGCATCAGAATATCCATGTTTCTGGTGGGTTGACTCTACACCCCATGAACATAAATTTCTTTATCACAAATAACTGAGATGATACACATGGGGGTGAATCGCAGAAACAGTGCTTAGAAAACGACAGGGGCTCTCCTACTATTTCTTTCACATAGTTCATAGTCCTACAAGTCATCACCTCCAGGAACCATGATGTTTTCCTGAGTGTATTGTTGTATACAGAGAGCAAGTCTGTACATTGACTGATAAGGATTGCCTGGGACAGGTTATCAGAATAGTTGTTAGAGAGCAGGGGCTGCTAAGACAGAACCAAGGCTGCCCCCACTCCAGTCCCCAGTCTTCACTCCACTTTGCTCAAATTACATGGGTGGTGGGACACCTAAGATTAAATGATTTCACGGCAGTAGAATTTGTACATCAGAGTAGAAAAAAAGCTCACAACTAAAGCCAATTGATTTAAAATTTTAAGTACAAGAAGTCCCACAAAAGTGACTATAAATATCAAAGTTTACAAAACTTTAGGGAAAGTCCAAAGTGAGTGCAATATAAATGTACTTTAGTTTGTCACTTTACAGACACTTCATATATCTGTGAAATCATAAGTAAGAGTTGGGATAACTTTGACACTGCTTTTATGTAGACTCCACTAAATATCATTGTTTACTGAATCAAAATAACTTTCACATCACCTTTAAAAGAAAGCACTCCATTACATTATGTTGGAAATTTCATATTACAATAAACAACAACAAAAAAGAAGTACTTCAACTAACAAAGCAAATAATTCAGAGCAAATGAACAATTTTTAAACATTAAATTTCACATGCTATATTAGTTATGTTTTAAGTGTTAAATATTGGGAGCATTTGTGATAAAGCAATAGATAATTGAATTCATTTCTTGAAAGTATAATTTAAGGATACACACTGAGCTTGGGAGATGGCTTAGTTGGTAAACTGCCTGCTGTACAAACATGAGGACCAGAACTTGCTCTCTAGCACCCACGAGAAAAAAAAAATTACAGCTCCAAATGTAATCATAACACTGGGCATGCAGAGAGGAGAAACCCTGGAACTTCTATTTCCTTGTAACAGTTATGATCAAAAGTATTTATGACAATAATCTTAAACCGGGCAGTAGAGGCGCACACCTTTAATCCCAGCACTCGGGAGGCAGAGCCAGGTGGATCTCTGTGAGTTAGCGGCCAACCTGGTATAGAGCGAGATCCAGGACAGGCTCCAAAACTTTGCAGAGAAATCGTGTCTCAAAAAAACCAATCCCCCCCCCCAAAAAAAAGAAAAAGAAAAACACAACAAAACAAAAAATGTAAAAATAAAAAGTATTTATTACAATAATCTTATAAGATGGTATTATAAATATGAGGGCCAAGATATTATGCACACAAAGCCATCCATAAAAGTTCTATCTTAAGATTTCCATCATTCAAATTTTCTAAAATTTCAGTAACTTCAAAGAGAAAAAAACACTTGCCTGATCTTTGCTTGATTGTCCTATTTTACTATATATCAGAAGTCAATGATACACAAATAAAATGTGCTGATGTAAATAAATACTCAGGGTTTATCTAGAAATAATTTTTAGTATGTAATATATTTAATTGATTATATTAAGCATTATTCTTGAAATTTTGGGGTAGAAATAACTGGATCTGTTTGTTAACTTGCATAAATTATATAGTAGTTATAAAAAAGTATGGTAGAATTTGATTTAAAAAAGATTTCTTAAATTCTATGTGTTATCTCTAATTCAAGATAATATATTTATGTGTATGTGTGTGTATGCATGCATGTGTGTGTGCTGCAAGTACACAAACGTCATACTACCAATGGGAAGGTCAGAGGAAAACTTTGAGGAGTCAGTTCTCTCACTGCACCTTGTTTCTGAGGTTGGGTCTTTCTTGTTGTCATGTTATTTCTAGCTAGACCACCATTTCTCTGATTCTCCTGTCTCAGACTCTCTTTGCCATAGGAGTCCTGGGATTGCAGGTACATGTCAAAACATTTATCTTTTTATGTGGGTTCTGGTCATCAGGCATGTGTGTGGCAAGTGACTTTATCCACTAAATTATCTCCTTGGGCCTCAAGATAATATATTTAATGAGAGAGAGAGAGAGAGAGAGAGAGAGAGAGAGAGAGAGAGAGAGAGAGAAAGAAAAGAAAAGAAAGAAGAGGGAGGGAGGGAAGGGGAGGGAAGGGAAGGGGGAAGTAAATTATTGAATGAACGAATCAATAAGAATGAAAGAAAACAGGCATTATCATCATAGTTGTGAAGCACAGCTGCATTCTGTATAAATAATCATAATTTAAAGGACTTGTATTCCTCTCATATCACACATTTCAATTCAGATGGAAATTAATGACCTAATTAGAATTGAGATGTGATGGGTTCATTGCTTTGATATCATTGCTTTGAATGATAAAAATTTTGAGGACTGGTAATGAACAACTTTATTTATGGAACCTAGAGAGAAAAATTCAGGAAGAAGGCTGAGATTTTCTGCTGACTTAACACATAGTTCTCTTATTAAACTTGCTACTGATTGACCCTAAAGATACTGCTTAAAACGAAGACGAACATTTGAGGGGTGTAACTGAATGTGTATCTAGCTAACAAATCTGGTTCTTCTCTTCTGTGGGACTAAAGACAATACTGGTTCTAGCTTTTAAAAACCTGAATCCTCCAAAACCATCCTATAAGGGAGCTGCTACTAAATCCACAAAGTATTACAATATTGTCTCTCTAATCAACTACTTGCTTAACCTATATACTCACTCCAAAGGCAGAAACTTTTAAAAGTCTAGCTTTATGTATCTCCTAGAAAAGATAGCTAATAAGAGTTTGGGGCTTTCAGTTTACCATTTTTAAAGTTCTGGTGACAGCAACAGGGTAGTCAAGTTTTTACTTTTCACAGCTAAGAGTTCAGAAAATAAAACCCATCTTCCACTCATTACTGAAGTGTTTTTACAGTCAAGTCAATCTGAAACCTCATCAAAAGGAAAATGTTTTGTTGGTTTACTTTAATATGCCCTTAAGAATGAATAAATTTAGCTTTATGAAAAGCTTCTCATGTATTTTAGCTATACATTTTTTTCTGTTTATCAAAGAATGCCATAGATCTGTAGACTATCAAGAATTTAAAAATTTTTAAGGTTTCAAAAGATGAGTGACTCTGGCCAGTGTTTTCTTTCTCTAACTTATTCTGAATTCTTGTTTGTTGCATCACTTTGGAAAAAGGAAGCAGAGCTATTTACACTGTTAGAAATTTTCATCTAACTCTTGCCACATGTGCCACTACATAGACAGCAAGACTAAGCTATGTCTTGCTTAAAAAGGGTAGCACCCAGCTGCCTTACCTGTCTACAGCACCACTTGCAGTGGAGGGGGAGGCGCCAGTTCTTTAGGGAGGGCAGTGCAATGCTTCCTCCTCTTCTGCAAGCAGTGTTGAAGATGCTGTAGAAGGAAGGGCATCCATGAGAGGAGTGGAAGGAATGATGGAGGGCACAGAGAATGTTGTTTAAAGGTGATTTTTGGCCACCTATGCTAAAGGTAGTGTCCAAGAGACAATGTTTGGGCTAGTGAAAAGCACATTTCAAGATCTAAAAATGGGATCTGATTATCACCACCTTAAAAACATGTGTCATAATATATTCTATGGGTCACCAGATGTATTTAGCATATAGATACCAAACAGACTTTAAAACTGCATACTTGAATAATCCTAAAATTAATTTCAGCCTTAATTCTGAATTTATTGATTGTCTAGGTTCCAGTACACACACCCAGGAAAATACCTATTAACAAACACTATTTCAGTTCTATAATGTAGATTATTTAGATTATTTTCTAAAAAAGGTTCATTCACTTGTTGTTGCTTGGGTTTTCTTTTTTAATACATTACTCAAATAATCTTTAAGGACCATTAAATTCTAAAATGACAGTTAAAAAACTAACATTTTCAAATAAGGGTAAATTCTAAAATTCTGGAAGAGTCCATGCAAAAGGCAAGAACTTAAACAGTATAACCTCTATCTATTTAAAATACTGCTTAAATACCTGCTTATTACAAACAAATGCTTCACTTTTTTCCCTTGGAATCATGAGAAACTCATCAAATAATTGTATTTATAACAAACAGATTATATAGTTCATTTACCCAAGTATTTTTCTGTGGTCCTATTTCAATTCCAAAACATGTATCAATATGATATAATACAATGACACACAGTTGTAATCTTGAAAATAAAATCCTTCGGTTTACTTAAAAAAAAATGAATCTCATGGTTTTATATAAATAAATCTACCCAACGATAAAAATGACAGAAGCAAGCCCAAACCTAAAATCAACACAAATCATAAGAGTAAATTCCTGGTAGAAGAAATACTTACAATTTTCAAAATAGGATGCTTTATGAATATAAATTAAGCACATATGCTTGCCAAATTATATGATCATGTCATTAAAATCTCAGATTTGTTTCTTAGAATATTAACATATATTTGACTATATTAAAAGTCCAATAACTTGAAGGACTAGAAAGTTTTCCAATAGTTTCCACATGCTTTTTTTATCCAAACTAACAAACTGTGAGTAATAAAGTAGAATCAGATTAACCTAAAAAACTGGCTCTCTATATCAGAATTACTTGGAATGAAAAAGATATTCAATAAACTCAACAAAGATATACATAAGAAGCTTCTTCGTGCCGGGCGGTGGTGGCGCACGCCTTTAATCCCAGCACTCGGGAGGCAGAGCCAGGCGGATCTCTGTGAGTTCGAGGCCAGCCTGGGCTACCAAGTGAGTTCCAGGAAAGGCGCAAAGCTACACAGAGAAACCCTGTCTCGAAAAACCAAAAAAAAAAAAAGAAGCTTCTTCAATAAGAAGGATTTAGTATGTGGTAGGTATAACTATTCAAACAACTAGAAATATAAAAATATAGACCACCACATCGATTTGTAAGATAATTTTTGTCAGCTTTTTCTGTTGAATTTACAAAAGAACTTACGAAATATACCAATTACTTTAATTTTAAAAAGTATACTCAGTATTAATCTAGCTTGTATTTTTGCCATGTGGTGATATATTGGGTACCCTACTAAACTTGCCTGAGGATCAGAGGACAGAGCCAGCCACTAGATTAGACATAGAGATCAGGCAGTGGTGGAACACACATTTAATCCCAGCACTCGAGACCTCATGCCTTTGCTTGAGAAGCATGCACGCCTTTAATCACAGGAAGCAATATTGCCAGACAGAGAAAGGTATATAAGGCATGAAGAAACAGGAATTCTCTCTCTCTCTCTCTTGAGGCTGAGGATTTCATAGAGGTAAGAACTAATGGCTGGCTGTTCTGCTTCTCTGATCTTTCAGCTTTCAATGTTATATCTGGCTCTGGGTTTTTAGTTGAAAGAACATCTAAGATTTGAACAACATTACCACATTACTAAATAAACCATGGAAGTCTTTATTAATAAAAACATACCCACCTCACAGAATAATGTAAGCTTGTCATCTGGTAAGAGACCATTGGCTTCATCAAGCAAAAAATCTCTTCTAATGAATTTTTTAAATCCCCAGTCCTTCCCCTGTACAAATCGATAAGCTCTTTGGCTTTCTGGTAGAAAACAGAAGTTAAAATAAAACAAGTATCAAAGATACATTTTTTCTTAATGGAGAAGAAATATACATTTACAGGACATAAATAATCACTATGATATATCAGCCATGTGTTTAAATAAGGTATCTGAAGAAATATGTCAAGAAGACAAACTATGAGGCCATTCCACCTCCTTTTTATTTTTGCCCAGCAAGAAGGCAAGGGAGGATTTTGTTGCTCAAAAGTCTGGCCACAGTCAATGAACTTAAATTAAGACTTATGACTCTTTTAAGCGAAGTCATCAAATCTGCTAGAAGGGAAAGATGCATAAAGACACATAAAGACATACAGAAACACATTCTCATTCTCTCATATTCTCTCTCTCTCTCTCTCTCTCTCTCTCTCTCTCTCTCTCTCTCTCTCTCTCTCTCATGTGCACACACACAACTGCCCCTAAAATAAAACAAATTCAAAACATACTGACATAGGCATAAGTAGTCATCTAATTGCAACATAACTTATTAGCTGTTTCTCCCTTAAAACTAGGTGTTTAATCCATTACAAAACTTTTTAAGCTCTGCTGGCAAACCCATCCTATTTATTTAAGTTTGCTGAATTATAGAAAACTTCAAATCTGTAAGAACACTAATCAGCCTCCTACCATTCCCAAGATTTTAGATATAATCTCATAGAATACACTTTCATACATAAAAGGCCAAAAGATGCTTTCAGTATAATTTGTAAAAGATTTTGATAAATACCTAAGATGTTTCAAACATCTCAGATACTGCTCAATTGTATACTGTAAAATACACAAGATTCTCAACAGAAAGTATTCATTATATATTTATTTATTATAAATAAAAAAGATATTTATAATAAATAAAGTATTTATTATATATTTATTCATTATATATTTACATTCATTATTATTCATTATTATCTACACAATCAGGATGTAACTTTAACTAAAATATTCTATTTTAAATGTCATATAATATGGAAACATAAACATTAAAAAGTGTGTATGTAGTAAGTTTCTTGGTTCTTTGATTCACTTCTAGAAAGTATTTACAATTCAGTGTGACAGGTAACAGTCTATTATCCATTAAAAACATTGTAAATATTCTCTAACATTTTTCTATTACGAAGCTCCAAAGTAAAGCATTTCCACTAAGGTTAATAGGCTCTGAATAACAGAAAAATTGATTTTCTTTCATTTAGTGTTAGTTAACTGGTAAAAATAAATCCCAGGGACAAACTATGAGGCCATTCCACCTCCTTTTTATTTTTGCCCAGCAAGAAGGCAAGGGAGGAGAAATTCCCTAGTGACATGTACCAGGCATCCTGTTTTAGCAGCAACTGTTTTTCCAAGTGACAAGTGAAAAGTCATTTTAGGGGCATGAAGGAGTTAAACTTTATTATTATTTGAAGTACTTCTATATGTCTATGGAAGCTAAAACTTATGAAGAAACTCTAGCTAGAATGTGAAATGCAAAATTAAGTAGTAATGGTTACAGGTAAATTTTTGGGCTGAAGAAATGTAAGGGAGGAAAATAATCCAAAACTTTTCCAGATAAAATCACTGTATGTAGATAAAGAGACTTCTTCATCCAGTCTACCAATCACTTACCCATTGCTTTTGTTTCTTCCCTTTTAGCATTCAGAAGGGAAAATTTGAATTTTGCTCGAACCTCACTTTTTGGGCAGCTGACTAAAAGCAAATATAAGGACAAATAGTCTTTACTTTCATCATCTAATCCCTTTGGGTTTACCCTCAGGCACCTAAAATAAAACAATAGGTCACTTAGAGGAATTTAGTATTTGACATTAACAAAAAGACAGGCGATACTGAAATCACTTGCAAATTATATCACAACAGCACTCCTGTAATAACTCCATGTTTTTTCCCTTTCTCCATTTTAGTAGGAATTAATTACTAATTTAATGTAAAATTATATTAATACAACAACAATAAACCCAAAGAAAGAAAAAATATAGTTAAAAAATATAGTAATAATGCTTACCATTTCATTTTATCATTTGGGCCAGAAGAAAATGTTGAACTCTTTAACACTTCACCCATTTCTTCTCGACAAAAACTGAAGTTATTAATAGTCCACATGTAGGAAAATTTCACCACTTTAACCTATGAGATCAGAAAGCCACTTTTTAAACTCAGGACTTAATCTCTTAACTTGTCACGAGTCAAATATTCATTCTAATCCTTTTAGCAATGATGTCACACTGTTTTACAATTTTATAATAATACTTGTCATGACTAGAAAATTTATGTGACATGCATCAAATGCATTTTAAATGGCTGTACCTGTGTGTAACACCAGCTTTCTGCAACAGGGCTAGGAGACATATCTCCAAGCAGCGGTGGAGTAGGTTCCCGAGACATTGCCACCTTATAACAGGCTTAAGATTCATATAGTATCCCACAATCTTGAGTAATTTAGCTACAAGAAAAAAAATTAAATTTATTAATCAACCTTTGAGAAAATCAGGAGAGAGAATATAAAGTTGAGGAAATTACTATTAAAATTAGATTTGAAACAACACATTAAGAGTTCAAATTTTAGAAATTTTTAATAAATGAAACCATAAACATCTGTCAAATACACATTTGAAGTCTAAACAAACTCAATACTTATATATGACACTATTTTTCAAAGTATCACAAATCAAAAATATTCATGTAGCATATTATAGAAACCTAATGACATCAATGTCTTGATTCATCCTCTGCCATCACTTCCTGAAATCCAAAGGGCCATGAGCAAGTTATCACTAACTACTTGTCATCATCTGCCAGTTCCCAGTTCTTACCAAAGAACCCCAGACTTCAAAAAGAGCCTACAGAGAATGCAGACAACTTGGATGTGTCATAATACTGTATCTCTGTCAGAGTGTTTCCTTCACAGATGGACTGAATCATGTATTTCCCTTTTAGTTATCTGTTCCTGTACCAAATCAACTGGATGCACAATCAACAGTCTATCTGGGTGTTGTTGAACAGCATTTGTTTGAGATATTCTCCTTTCTCCAATTTGTACTTTTGCAAACTTTGTCAAAAATCAGTTAGTTGTACTCGCATGGGAAAATTTTGATATACTAAAGCAATATATTTCATTATTGTTGAACTATATTCTTTTCTTCAGTGTTCACGTATTCCACTCTCCTCCCATCCACTGACTGTTGTTGTTGATATTGCTGAATATACTGTACTGTGTAAGAGCAATGAGAATCTACGTTTGATTTAAGAACTGATAAAGAAACCACATTAATTCTATGGAGGGATATACTTTCGAGAAGACAACAAATCCTTCAATAAATAAATAGAGATAACTGTCTCTAAACTAGAGGACAGTAGTTTAAGATGAGAAAATGAAGATTGAAGTAAGCCACTTGAAAGACTGAGAAAAAATGAAGCTATAAAAGATAAAACAACAAATAAAATTGTTAATGAAGAAGCACTTTAAAACTCTGCAATATAGACATGAAGCAGGAGCCAGGAAACACTGTGCAGACCTGGATCCCTAGGCAGAGAGCAAAAGGATCATGGAAACACAACCTGGTCTGCATGGAAAATTCCAGGAGGATCTACTGGAAAGGGAGAGAACTTAAGAGCCCCACAATGGAGAGGAGGGCTATGAAATTCTGTATTTGAAGGGAATGACATTTGTACTTAAACTCACAGCTACAGTTGCCTGAAAAGGGCCTGAACAAGGTTTGACCCATCCATTCATGAATGGAGGGCTTTCCACATGGGGCCCAGACTATTGATAGCTGATGGGTGTTCAGGGAAAGAGAATCACTATCTTCAATGGTGTAACACTACTGAGATATTTAGACTTGACTGAGATAACTAACAAATGTGGACTACATGAGTAAGGTTAACAATAGCCAACCAAAATAAGAATTCAAAATTGGGCCAGTGAGATGGCTCAGATGGCAACAGCTCTTATCATCAAGCCTGACAACATGATTTCTATTCCTTAAATAAGGAAAAATTGATAAAGAAAGAGAACTGGCCACATGGTAAAAAAAGAGAATTGACTCCTGGGGTTGTCCTCTAAGCTCTACATGCGGGGCATGCTATACAAGTACCCCCTCCACAAACCAAAAATAGTAAAACAAACAAACAAACCAAACACAGACAAAAATTACCAATGAAATATATTACTATGAACTTCAAAATGAGGGGAAAAAAAAACAAAACAAATGAATGTGGCCTCATTTTTCTACTTGCTGATTAAAACCTAAAAAAAACAGAATGATTACTAGTCTCACAGACATTTTTCATGCTTAAAAGACAAAATAACATTTCTAGATATGTAAAACATGTATACCACACTCACCTACTTCTTGAATGAGATAAATTCCCTCAAATTACTTCCCAGTCAGACAGAGGAAAACAACACAACAATCTCCATAAAGAAGCAGCTCTGATTTTTATCCCACTTGAATATGAACAAGAAATTCATGTTTTAAAAGAGATAGTGGCCAAGCATGGTGGCACACACCCATAACCCTTATAACCCCAACACTCAGAAGCAGGAGAACAATGACTGTCATTGTGAGACCAGCCTGGGCTACATAGCAAGACCTTTTCTCAAAAATAATAATAAAAACAAACTCTTAAAAGACTATGATGAAATAAAATAAGTTAAAACAGTAATTAAAACTATAAAATAAGTTATTTTTAAATACATAAAGGGAATATATTCATCTTATTTTTTAAAAAGGTTAGTGGAAACTATAAGAGAAATTTGATAAGGTTTGGTATACAATAAGAAACAAATTATAGTTCATTTATCTATAATTATTTTAAGTAGCTGACACTGATATATGCTCCTCAAGCTTGGGAGACATTAATTTTAATATGAAATATGTAAAATTAAAAGCAAATAAAAGAAATAAGATTAAGAAATTGGTATGCAATAGATGAGAAATCTTCAGTTAGACGGGAAGGAGGCTACTGAAGAATAGGGTAATCTCTAAGGCTTCTCTAAAAATATATTTGAATGGAAGACCAGAAGATTAAATAACATCAGACACAAGTCAAAGCCAGTAATTTGGAGAAGAGAAGGGCAGCAAATGTAAATGCCTTGGGCACAAAAGCCTATGAGAGTCCTGACAATACCAATAGTAATCAAATGTGTCTGATGTCATTTCAAGATTTCAAGGAAAAAATATATATAATTGAGGTAATAGTGCAATTGAAAAGGCAACTTTCAGAGAACAGACTGGTTTAGTAAAAACCAGGGAAGAATACATGCTGGAAAACAAATTATGAGTCTATTAAGAATAGTTTGACGAGATAATGCTACCTCAGTAAAATTACAGAAAAGGGCCCTCTTATTTGAAGAAATATTTGACAATCAACAAAATTTTTGATGGGCTGAAATTAAAGTGAGGAGCAATCAAGGATAAGTTCTTGTTTAGGACTTGAGAAATGGGAGAATGTTGATACCATACACTAAGACAGGGAAAACAGGATAAAATTGGGGGCTGGAGAACAGGTTCCAATATAGTGAGTGTGCAACATCACAGTATATCTCAAGTGGAACAACTTTCAAATTAATCTTTCCATTAGATTGTGCTGCTTCCTTTTCATTATTAACATCAGTTCTAATGTAGTGGCCCAGATGTGTTCACAGGTTGCATAAAATAAGTAAATAATTAAATAGAACCTGTCATAACATGCTTGTAGCACAATGATAAACTGAGGGTTCAACAAGCAGCTAAGTAAAATTGAAAATCAGGATACTGGAGGCATCCTTGAAAGCACTCAAATGTTTGTTTCCTCATAGTTCACAATGGCTGAGCCACAGCATTAACCCATTCAAGAAAAAACTAAAGAAAAGGTTTGCATGGTTAGAAAGGATGGGTTTTTTTAGTCTGGATTCTTTTCAAATGAAGTATCTATGACATGGGGTTACAGAGAATACTGCTCAACTGCATCTTGAGCACTTGCACTTTATAAGGTATTATGACTGTTTATGTTGCAGTAATGCTGTTAGTAGCGATAACCTCACCTTAACTAGGAAAAATATTTCAAATGTTTTAAAAACTTCTGCTTCAGAATGTATGTAATTGACAAGGGATTGAACACACATTTGCCTGTCTCCAAACTGCTGTGGGATGTTCTATATGTTAAATGTGTTGCTCTGATTGGTTAATAAATAAAACACTGATTGGCCAGTAGCCAGGCAGGAAGTATAGGCGGGACAAGCAGAGAAGAGAATTCTGGGAACAGGAAGGCTGAGTCAGAGAGACGCTGACAGCCACCGCCGTAAGTACCAACATGTGAGATACTGGTAAGCCATGAGTCACATGGCAACTTATGGAAGCCTGAGCCATTAGTCCAAACAGTTTAAATAATTTAAGTGTCTGTGTGTTTATTTTACAAGTGGGCTGTCAGACTGCCAGGGCTTGGCGGACCACTCTCCAGCTATACCAAACCTATGCTCCTCCCCTAGACTACTGCTGCCCATAAAAAAAAGTATAGAGATTCAACAGATCCACCGTTTCAACACTTAATATTACAGATGATAATCAAAAGACATAGATTAAAATAGAATAATAAATCATTAGTTTTACAGTGATAGGCAAATACTGGAGTAAGGGACAAAGATGAGGCCCCAATGTCAACTTTACTGTTTCCAGTATTCTTTTCCAATCTCTTTATTTTAAAAGAAAAAAAAATAATATATTCTATTATCTAATGCCATTTAGGCTTTCTTATCTTTGTTCTTTCAAAAAAAGCTTGCATAAAAAGATGCTAGAGTAGCCGGGCGGTGGTGGCGCACGCCTTTAATCCCAGCACTCGGGAGGCAGAGCCAGGCGGATCTCTGTGAGTTCGAGGCCAGCCTGGACTACCAAGTGAGTTCCAGGAAAAGGCGCAAAGCTACACAGAGAAACCCTGTCTCGAAAAACCAAAAAAAAAAAAAAAAAAAAAAAAAAAAAAAAAAAAAAAAAAAAAAAAAAGATGCTAGAGTACACTGCATCTAAGTTTGCAGTCCACCATGTCCAGACAGCTCTGAGCTTGGAGTAAAACTGAGGACTCCCTTTCCAGCAGGGTTCCCTCCCCGCCTGGATAGTGTCTCCAGGAGTCCTGACCTTAACTGGAAGCTGTCTCTAAGCCTGGATGCCTGATCTATCTCAAACGTGACCTTTGACACAGCTCCCTGCAGATGTTCTCCCCCTGCTGCACATATGATAATTAGGTTTTGTGCTCCTATCTTATGATATAAGTGTGTTGCCAAATATAAATTAGGAGATGCCCCAACTGCTGTCTCCATCCTATATTTCCCTTCACTCTGAAATAAAGCTGAGCTGTTACACTGAAACTATCTCCCAGAAAGCTGTTCCATCATAGTCACAGGCCTTACAGAGCCCTGCAGGCTGCCTCTGCTCCCTTTGTCCTAGTAGCCTGGTGGGCAATGGACCACGC